TGGAATGAGTGTGTGAATCTGGACGTCTTTGTGGCGAGGTGCAGAAAACTGTGATTGATCTGCTTTGCCGCATCTCTCAGTGGAACACGTCCAGATTCAGAGCCTCGTTCCACACCACTTGAGAACTCTTGAGTTTCAAGTGCACCCTAATCGCGAAATCTTGATTAATTCACACTACGCCGCCTCCTCGTTCCATGCACACTAGAGACGGAACTTGAAAATGTCGCACTTGAAAGAAAAACACCCTGGCTCCCCCTTCTGCGGAGACCCACCGGCGGGTTTTCGATCCAGTAGGCCGGCACCCGGCCTTGAATATGCCATTTGGGACTCCAAGGACCGGTTGGGCCGAGGAGCAGTGTGGGAGTGCGCGCGCGGCGGGTTTTCAAATTCAAAATCTGTTGGGGGTGGAGTGTGGCGCTGTGCAGCCAACAAAATCGCCACACGCGCGGAAGTGGACACGGGCTTGTACTGCACTTGGACGCGTGCGAGGGCAGTGGACACCGCCGCCAGTTTCTTGTCGTCGGGATTTGTTCATTGCACCGTGCGTTGAGTAGACTGCCATAGTTGTTGTCCATGGAGGACATCCAATTTTCGTGCGTGGCGGCGGACGGCTCTGCGCCCCGTCGTCGAGAACTGTCCCACCGTGAGAAACGCCTGGTGGTTACAGCGTTGCTCGCCGTGTCGACGCATCTGCAGCACACAGCAACATTGCGGCGCAGTCCGGCGAGAAGAGTCGGGTTGAGGGAGGCCATCGCCACGCATGCCATGGCGGATTCGAATTCGTCCGCTGCCATTTGGGATGCGCCGTTCCTTATGGCGAATGCCATTGTCTCGGGTGTCCTTCGTAGGGAGATGCCACGGTGGTGGATCCGGAGGAGAACCGGCGGAACATGGCAAGATCTCATAATTGATGACGACGCCACAGACGACTATTTCCACGAGAAGCTACGAATGACGAGAGGGGCGTTCTACGACATCGTCGCCGCCTGCACTCCTTTTCTTCAACGGTCCCTCACTCATTACCGCACTCCATCGATGCCGGAGCAGCTGGACCAGGTGGCGTTCGCTCTGTACAGGTGGGCGAGCGGCGAGACGTTTGACAATGCAGCATCGTCATTTGGGATGGGGAGGTCGAGTGGTGTCAAAGCGGTGAGGGACGTGACGAACGCTATCTTGTATGCATATCCGGACAAGATAGCCATGCCAACAGGTCGGCGATTGCAGCAGGTCACACGAGCGTTTGCAGCAAAGGGATTCCCGAACTGTTTTGGTTGCATGGATTGCAGTCACGTCTACGTCGACAAGCCGGCAAATGCCCCAGCGGAGAACTATTTCGATCGAAAGCAGCAATACTCTGTCATTGCTCAAGTCGTCGTCGACCTCGACATGCGTGTGCTGGATGTTTACGTGGGGTATCCGGGCAGCGTCCACGGCGCCAGGGTTTTAATCAATTCGTCACTGTACAGACGTGCAGAAGCTGGCACTTTGTTCTTGGCGGATGCGGTGGACCTGCCATACGGGGTGCGAACAAGGGGATACGTCCTCGCGGACAACGGCTATGGACCCTTGCCCTGGCTTGTAGTGCCTTACGGTGGAGTAGTGCAACCTCCCGACGAGGCGCATTTCGACACGTGTCACAAGTCGTCATGGAATGTTGTCGAACGGGCATTTGGGAGACTGAAGGGGATGTGGCGGCTATTTCTGCGCCACCACAAGACGAACATGGAGAATCTGCCCCAGCAATTCACCGCCGTTTGTATTTTGCACAAGTTGCTGATCGAGGCTGGCATCGAATTTGACGAGCGTCTACTTGTTGACAGGGACGCTGACGGCAACGAACGCCCCATAGATTTGGGTATGCATGAACCTGCTGCCCCTGTGTTGCAGGATGATGCCACCGATGACGCCCTTGCATTGCGCGACGCGCTTAGCTTCCGAATGCACACGGCTATGGCTTGATGATAATGGCTTTTGCGGGTGTGTTCGTTATTGGGGGTTGGGTGGGTGGGGGGGGGTTCGGTAGTTTAGGGGTGGACAGTGATTACAGCCACCCGCTGTCTTTTGTGAATCGTGCAAGTCAATCCTTTCGTTTGCCAGCGAAAGTAATCAATGCTTGCAGGTTGATGGTTAGATTATGTGGCATGCATTATCACAAAGTTTCAGTGTGCGTAAGATTGTTGAATTCAATCAGACGTGATGTGCGCTTTCTGCAATAGGGTTTGAAATTTGTGACATGCGAGTAAATTTGCTTGTTTTATTTGCATTTGATGGATTGAACTTCATTGACAACATGTATCGTTTATGTTCTGTACTTCCGTGCGATGTGCTTTTGTCGTCCAAGTACCTTCCTTAAACCTTTTTTCAGAGTTTGGGGTGGGGATAAAGAAAACGGAAAGATTTGAAATCACCAAGTGCTCCATTGAAAGGTAACAGCAACCAACGTGAGAAGGGTTTGTACAATGTGTGTGGGATTGAAGGGGACGATTACGAAGGGACACCTGCTGAAAGGGACGATTAACTGTTGATTGATTCCAAAGGTACAATTGATTGATTGTTGTATCGAAAGGGAAATCCACTCCGATCAATCAATCATTCTCAAAAAAAAAAAAAAAAAAAAAAAAAAAAAAAAAAAGCGACCATGAGTAAATCAATATTGGTGTTTGATTGATTGTTCTATCGAAAGGGACAATTTCAAAAAAAAAAATTACGAAAAAAAGGAATGAAAAGTGGTGACACAAACAGTGAAAGTATGATCTGTCGCTCCTTTACCGTTTACTTGTGAACTGCACCGCAGCACTATCATGTGCTTCGGTGAATGCATCATGAACACATTCGGTGGTTTCGTTTAGGCGCGCTGAGAAGGATGATTAGCACGTGTCCGACACATTGTACAGATAGAAATGAAGGAAGGACGAAGAAAGGAAGGAGGGACGAAAAAAGGATTGACTGGCGACCCATGTCCACACACTGTACACAACCAAAACCAGAACGATCTCCGAAAATCCACGATTGATGAACGCAACAATCGTTGTCAATCAATACAAACCTCTCTCTCTCTCTCTCTCTCTCTCTCTCTCTCTCTCTCTCTCTCTCTCTCTCTCTCTTTCTCTCTCTCTCTCGGTCGCTCTTGTATTTTGCGCATGTGCGTTCTTGAAAACACAAGTATGTACACACAGTTAGGGCGGCACATGTCTTACCGAAACTCTCTCTCTCTCTCTCTCTCTCTCTCTCTCTCTCTCTCTCTCTCTCTCTCTCTCT